TCCTTTAGTATAGGTGAGCATATATAAATTATTACAAGATTATAATATATAAAACCTAACTAATTTGAGCTAATTTAAACTCTAATCTTAACTCTGACTCTAATGATTTATAAAATTACTTAAATTAGCTCAAAATAATTAAGTTATAGATATTATAATTATATAATAATTATATATGCCACCTATATCAAAGATCAACTAATTTTAATTTTCTATAAAAAACAGAACAATATCATTTTGATCAGATTTTGTTTTAATCTGTGATAGCTATTATTAAATGATATAGCGTTTTAAACTTTTTAAAAACTTTGATCAAAGATATCCTAGCAACTACTTGACCAAAATCGATAAACTTTTTTTAATTTGAATTTTAAATATTTGTAAAATTCAAATAAAAAAAAGTTTATTAATTTTGGTTAAGTGGTTGTCGAGAAACTTTGATCAAAGTTTTGAAAGTTTGTAAACAATAAAGTAATAAAATTGAAAAGATCTTTATGTAACCATGGTGCGAATAGTAAAAATCCATAGTGTGAATAGCAATTTCTATAAAAAATAATAAATTATTATTCTCTGTACTATTGGTTAGAAATAACTACTTTTATTAAAACTTAGCATTAGGGTGTTGCTTTAAGATAAATAGAAATTTTTATATAAAATAATTTTTTAAATAGCATAATATAGATCAAGTATCAGGTTCTGATCTTAGTTCTTATAAAGTTTTATGAGTTCTGAATATTTTTACTTTATCCGGCAGATAACTATAATCAGACTGCCGAATAATTTTATTATTCAGCAATTGTCGAGTTTAAAATAGTTTGTAATCGAATATTGTAAAATTCACTATAACCAGCTAATTAAACAATTTATTACATTTAATTTTACATATTATTTAAACACTGCAATTATCTAAACAATATATTAATTAATCGTAACATTGTCAGCATTTATGTAATAATTTTTAATGATCACAGTTTCATCTGATCCTTCTTCAGAAGCTTGGTAATTATGATTATATAATCTTTGTCATCTACCAAGCGTAGGATTATATTTCATTGCATTAATATAAGGTGAGAGATTTAAACGCTGATTAATGTTTTTTAATGGTGCATGAAAAGGTCTTGTTACAGAATTCCAGTTTTTAACTGAATCGTTTAATACTTTTTTTGATAATTCAGATACCGTAGAACTCAAATTTTCCTATACAAAAAAAATAAATAAGTAGAAAAATCATAAAAAATTTTTAGAATCATTTTATTTATTATTATAAATATCTTGAATTTTGAAAAATTCAATCTAATCATTACAAGTTATGGTAGTAGGTGGGTTTTTGGTATGAATCTGATTTAAAATAATAATAATTGTTCATTATTTATTATAGTAGATATGTATAATAAATCTAAAAATAACAAATATTTACATCATCATGCTTTAAAGGTAATTTAATATGATTGATTAAAGTTGATAATGCATCCTCTTTTTCTTTTCCAGAAGGTCTTGCATAAACCCGATAAGAGGCTTCACTTTTGTGACCCGTTAATGCCATTGTTGTTATCATAGGCACCCCTTTTCTGAATAAGGCAGTTATAGAAGTTGATCTTCCAGAATGATTTGTAATACTATGATTTTTGATATCGATACCGGCAATGTTACAAACATTTTTCATAAATGATTGACATGATTTTTCACCAAGTCTACTATCGCAGTACCATGATTCTTATGAATCATCTAAATTAAAATATTAATATATAATACGTAACAATAAAATGTAATTATAATTAATTTAATAAATAAATTATATATATATATACTTACATTTAAGTTGATAATTAATTCGATGATGTAAATAAGAACATTTACAATTTTTAGGACGTTTAGAAATATAGAGTTGTATATCATAAATAGGACCTTGAACTTCTGGAGGATCAGGTGGTACTGGAATTACTAAACCTGTGTTGTCACTTTCAATACCACCTTGATTATTTTTCTGTGAGTATTTGGTAAATTGCAATCCGCCATCTGAAGTAAAAACAAATTGTAACATTTTAATAGAATAGTGTTCACCACCTCTAGGCTGAAATAATAAACAACACCACATGAAAACACGATATTGTAAGCCTTGAGGATCGTTAATAGTAATTGAATCGTGTTAGAAAATTTTTTGTATTTCTTCGTCTATAAGATTGTTATAGTGTTTTACGATTGTACCAGATTTTTTCAATTGTTTTAATTTTCTATTTAATATAGACCACAGTAACCTAAATTCCTTTTTATTTGATAAAGTAAATTGCTGATTTCCATTAGGATGGTTAAGAAGATATAAACTTAACAAGTTTATACAATTAATGAGAGAAGAGGGTGCATATTCTGCAGAATTTTTGATTTGGCGTATTTCCAATATAAATTCTGTCATTTCAGTTTTCAACTGATCCTTATTGTTAATGGTTTCAATTCCATAATCATAACCTACTGTATGATGCCAGTTTTGTAAAATTTGAACCCATTTGTCAATAGATTTTTTAGTATTTGTGGGAATAGTATCAGTTCGTGTTGCAAGAATTTCTTCTTGTGATGGTTTATAATATGCAGTATTTGACTATAAAAAAATAATAAAATATTTATTACTATTTTTTTTAAAAAAAAAATAATTAAATTTTTTTATATTAACCTTCGCTTTTGGCATTTTACTTTGTAAAAAGTAAAAAAATCAAAATAAAAAGCTTAAATTATTTATAGGCATCATATATTGTCTGATTGTCGTTATCTACTGGATAAAATCGTTATTGGCTGCTCTGCACCAATAACTTTGTATCTGCCTGGGAATCTGGAATTTAATACAGTATGCCAGACTCTGGGCCCCTTTGGGGTCCAGAGTCTGGCATACTGTATTAAATTCCAGATTCCCAGGCCAGGTACATTATGTATTTGTCATCTGATACTAATTAAATAGTGATCAGCTGATCACTATTTAATCAGTATCAATATGCCAAATACTATAGTTATTGGATGTTTCGCATCTAATAACTATTAATTACCTACCTGATCTCTGTTTCATAATACAGTTTTTAAGATATAACGTACTGGTTATTCTTAACTACTAGCACAAATTAAAAAATCTAAAAATAATAATTTTAATTAAAACAACTTTTGCAATTTAGTTATAAAATTTAGACTTGTATTAAGAACAAAATTTTTTTATTTTTAGAAATATATGAAATTTTAAAAAATCTTAAAAATTTTAATAATTAAAATTTTTAAACAAAAATTTTAAAATTTTATTACTTAAAGTTTATTAATTTTTTTTTTTTTTTTTTATATATCTTCGCAGTGTCATGGAAGAATAGATTTTTATTAGGTATTTTAGTTATATATTCTTAGTTAACAAGTGTATATATAGCCACATATGCAACTTTTGGTTGCCTAATTTAAGTAGTCCGCCTGAAGGTTCTATACTATATGCTATATCTGTAACCTAACTAGAAGATTATCTATTTAAACACTCTGATGTCTCTCATCTTGCACTATCACCTTAATCACACCAATTTATAACCTTGTGCTGCTTCTTATTGAAGGCACCCAGATCGACATCTGCTATACTACTTGTGCCTAATTTTATAGATAACCTAGTAGGGTTCTTGTACTGCTGGATTGCCCTAGGGAGAGTATAGTATATATCTCTCTAATCTTTCTATATCCCATGCACTTCCAGATTAGGCTACAAATACCTTCTGCAGCAGCCAAAACTATCACTAGCAGTTAGGGCTAGAGTAAGTAGCACAGAGGTCATTGGCATACCACTCTAGCATGCCTATAGTGGCATGCCATAAGCATGCCCAATGCTCAGATTGCCTATAGACATGCCATTTATATATATTCTGAAAGGTTCTAAAAATAATTTAGGAAAATTGGAGCAATGCTCCGAAGTATTCTGAAATGGTATTTTATAGTAGATGATAACTGACTAATCTTAATTGAGTATATTATTGCATGATTTAATGGCATGCCAGGGTGGCATCCTGACATGACCTTTAGCAGTTGGTATGCTATATAGTATGCAAGATTTTTTAGCCATGCCATTTACCCTAGTCAGGGCGAACTATTAAACCGCACAATTCTGGTATTTGGTGTCTTTGCAAGGTTCGTTCTGATCCTGATATTTACATCAAGCCAGTCCTTATACTGATCCCTCATTAACTACCAAACCAGTTAGTTTGGACGGATCATTGTAACTAGGCTTTAAGTGCTTTCTGGTTTTACTTCTCTTGGTTTCTAATTCTATATTATAGGACTTTTTCCTCCAATGCAACTCCGATAGCCAGGTTGGTAGACCCTTCTTGTCTCAGGGTTTTTATCTGGTTTTTCAGTCTCTGGTTTCTGACTTTTTCACAGTATCGTTAAAGATCTTCACTACCTCCTTACTCGGGTATTGCCAAAAAGATTTTAATTATTCCAGTTTCTTGAATTTGGATTGCCTAAGAACTTCTATTTTGAGATAGTAGTACCAAGATTACAGGTAATATACTCACAACCGATCGTTAAATAATTGTTACTGGTATACAGGCCTATTTTTCTAAAAATGTCTCTAGTGGGATTCGAACTCTAGACCTGCTGCTTGGGGGTGACAACTTAACTACTACTCTAAATTGCTACACCCTTTAAAGTTTATTAATAAATTTAAAAAATTTTTATAACAAAGTTTAAAAATATATATACAGTATATATATTTTTTAATCTTCACAATGTTATATAAAGACAGATTTTTATTGAGTATTTTAGATAGTGCATTCTTGATTAATGAGAATACATTTAGCTACACGTATGATATTTAGCTATCTATTTAAATAGTCTGCCCAAAGGTTCTACACTATATGTTATACCTATAATCCAACTAGGAGATTACCTATTTAAATTCTCTGATGTCTTTGTTTTGCATCACTTATTACAATTACACCAGTATATAACTTTGTACTGCTTTTATTGAAGACTACCCAGATTGATATCTGCTATACTACTTGTACCCTAATAGGATCCCAAGCTATATATAAATAGGTTGCAATTTGGTTTTGCTTATTTTTAACTTTTTTTTGTAAATCTTTTTTTTATTTAGTAATATTAATACTTATTTTTAACTACTTTTCTATAGATCTTTTCTGTTTTTAGTAATATTAAGATTTTTTAAAAATCTTAGCTATTTATAGATTATTTGAAATCCTGCTCTAATTTTATAAATAACCTAGTAGGGTTCTCATGCTATTGGGTTGCCTAGATAGAGTGTAGTACTTACTTCCTAATCTTTCTATATTCTATGCATTTTCAAATTAAATTTCATTCTGCAGCAGCCAAAACTACTACTAGCAGTTAGGGCTAAGCATTAAACTGCACAATTTCAATATTCAATACCCTTACAAGATTCATTCTAATCTCGATACTTACTTCAAAGCAGTCTTTATACTGATCCCTCTCAAACTACCAAATTAGTTAGCTCAGATGAATCATTATACAATAGACAAGTCATGGCAGAAAAATATTGAGATCATGTAATAGACTGCTAATTAAAATTCTCAATTAGATGTAATGCGAAATATGAAATCAAACTAATTAAATAAAACAAAAGATTAAAAGTAACAAAACATTATTATTAGAGCTGGTGTTAAAATTAAAGTAGGCAATATTTTAAATTAAAATTTTGCAAGAATTTTTTATTAAAATATAAAAGGTAGTTTTATAAACAAAATTTTAAGTTATTGGTGATTTTTCAAAGAAGTATGATTTTTACATTATATCTGATCTTCAAATTTGATTAGATGTTCTTACATGATCTCAACATTTTTTTGATATAACTAATCTATCTATCATTATATCTAGGCTTTAAGTGCCTTTTAGTTTTATTTTTTTTAATTTCTAATTCTATAGTATAGGACTTTCCTCTAGTGTGACTCTAGCAGCCAATTTGGTGGATTCTTCTTGCTTCAAAGTTTTTGTCTAGTTTTTCAGTTTTCAGTTTCTAGCTTTCTGCAGTATTGTTAAAAATCTTCACTACCTTTTTACTCCGATCTTGCTAAACAGATTTCAATTATTCTGGTTCTTTGAATTTAGATCACTCAAGAGCTTCTATTTTAAGATGATAGTACCAAGATTATAGGTGATATACCCAACTAATAGTTGAATAATTGTTACTGCTACACAGGCCTATTTTTCTAAAAATGTCTCTAGTAGGATTCGAACTCTAGGCCTGCTGCTTGAAAATGACAACTTAACCACTATTCTAAGTTTTTACATCCTTTAAAATATATTTTTAAAAATATATTTTATAATAAATATATACCCTATATATTTTTTTTTTTTTTATAATTTGGCAATTCTGCCTCTGTTTATTTGAGATTAAGCTATTCAAGAATTATACATTTCTATACATTTCTATCTGTAGCTATTGCTAATTTAA